TATTAAAAATAATAAAGAAGTTTCTTTTACAATATAATAGTTTTTATAAAAATTAACTAGTCTGGTGATCTTAGTGTAGTAGTTAGATTGCTGGACCACCATACAAGAGGTCTAGAGTTCAAATTCCACTGTATACAAAATTGAATAATTATCTAGATATCTGTATTCAACTTATAGTAAAACTCTGCCTGTTTCTGGGGTTGTAACCCTGTAAATTACATTGCACCAATACTAATCAGTGTATTAGAAGTGTAATAAGGTATTTAGTGAGGTATAACATTACACAAATAAATCTTGATAGGATCTATAAACAGGAGACCTACATAGTAAAAATTCTAAGTTAGGTGAAATAGTATGAATTTTGATAGTCATACCGGTTTACATCTGATCCAGTGAAAGAAATCTGTGACTGAAAGTTGCAACTGAGCAGGTGTGAGTAAGTCTGTCACACAAGGTCATATGGCAATACCAACCTAGCTTAGCAGCTAACTAGATTGGGAAGATCTATCTTATAAAATATCTGAAAACATGAAGGACTGATTCAGTAGAAGGTCACAGTAGGAACCAGGTTTGTACAAACATTGAACAAGAGTATATACAAGCTAGATTGGGATATAGCATAGCATAGTTGAGTACCATAGCACTTATTGATTAGAAAGTTAGTGAAAGAGTACTGAAATAGGCCTAAGCTTCTAATTATAAAGTTTGTGGATATATGTCAGCTTAGGTGTCTTTTTGAAGAAGTAGCACAAGGTTAGGCTAGCTTGGTATAAAATAGATAGAAATGAGTAAGTCATAGGACCAGAAGGTTTAAATAGAGAATCTTCAAATAAATTTCAGATATCGCAACTAGTGTAGAACCTTTAGGCAGACTACTTAAATAGACAATCTAAAGTTGTATGTATAACTAGTTGTACTCTCACAATATGTATTATTACTTACTATTAAATAACTAATAAAGTTTTGGCTGATAGCATTTGTATAAAGTAAAAAAAAAAATAAAAAAAATAAAAAAAAATAAAAATTAACTAAACTTGCTACTAGAGACTTCTTTATATATTTAACATATAAGCTAAAAGTAATATTATATAAAATAACTAGCAAAAAAAGCTCTTGTAAAAAAAATTTAGTAAAGAGATATAAAAGAGCTTTTTGTTAATGAAGTTAGTAAAAGAAGACTTAAAGTAAAGAACAACAAATTATTTTTTTTATATACTCTTTTAAATTATAGAAAATATTAATATATCATAAATTTTGTAGAACTCTTTTTAATGATCTCTTATACCAAAAATTCTTAACTTATTTTTTTTAAAAAATACAATAAACTTTGTAGAAACATAAGAGTAACAATACAGGAAAATATAAGACAGCACTTGTTATTTAGAGATAGTTCTCATATACTATCTGCTAACAGGTTTGGAGTTTATCACTTACTATAATATCATAGTAGTACTTGTCATTTAGAAGTAGTTCTCATACACTACTTGCTAACAAGCTTAGAGTTTATTACTCACTTACAGAAAATAAATACTAGTTATACTCTAGGTAAATACAAGTGAATAGTAAATTTTGGAAGATACATACTCTCTTTAAATTTTTTTGGTACTACTACCATTTCTCTCTGGACTTTTAGATTTCTCTATACCAAAAAATAAAAAAAGTAAGGATTTGGTGAACTCCTAACAAAGGATCTGCAAGTTTATACTACTTCTTAATTTAGCAAATTATCTGTTAATATGCAACTTAGACAAGACAACAAACACATATATCACTATCATATAGATGATCCAATTAGGATTTAACTTCCAGAGAAGTATATTACTAGAGATATGCATTCTTGTTTTTGCATAGCATAATATTTTTATATTTTGTTAAACTTTTTTTTCTTTATATTAATTAGAGTATTTGTTTCTTTTTCTTTTTTTTTTACTTTTTTACTTATAAGGGTTTTTTAATCTGGTAGCAGATTTTTCTCTTACAAGCTTAGTTCATATAATTAGCTATATTTTATTATATATAACAATTTTTATTTTTAACTTGGACTAGATATTAATAGTTTGTAATTTAGTTTCAATTAGATTAGAAGCAACCTAGAACTTTGATAAAGCATAAAAGAACCTATTGTTAATCTGAAAGAACCACCCTACTTAGGTAAGATACCTTTTAGAGAGATAAATACTTTTTGCAGTAGATTACACCTGAGCGGTACAAGGCAAGTTGAGTAAATTCAAGGTTATAAAGGTAGGATACATTAGTAGTTTAGAATATTAGTTTTTTTCTTATTTTTGTATTATAATTTTTTTACAAATCTTCTACTAATAAACCAAAAGTAAGGTCATCTAAGTTAAAAAAAAAATATCTAGTATTTATACTAAATCTTATTATACTATATAATATTTATCTTTATATATATCGCTTATTTTTATTTGAGTTTTTAAAAATATAAATTGTTCTTGCTTCTGTATATTTCAGTTGTCTAAAAAGTAGTACTTTATTTATGTTTTGTAGTATATTAAATATCTTTATTATAAACTATTTGCAACTTTCTAATATCCCTTTTTTATTTAACTTTGAAGTTATATATACTAATAAATTATTTGTAAATAAAATAATCTAAGCTTCTATACTTTGAATAAAACTATTTTTTCTTCAAAAATTACTTTTACTCTAAGATTTTTTTATTTTTTTTTAATTATTTTAATGTTTTTAACTACTATCTTCTTCAGTTAATTTCTATTAAATATATATATAATTTAAAAAAATTATATTGATATAATAATTACAGTATTTAATCTATTATAATATTACATATCTTAGCTTTTTGTTTATTGGATAACTTTAATAAAATATATAGCACTATATTTTTATTTGAACTTAAATTTCTGCACTCTTTAATAAACATATCATAATCACAACTATCATCTAATACCATTGTTAAACTACGCCCATTTACTTTATATGAAATTTTAATTTTATTTTTTTTAATATTATTATTATTAAGACACTTATAAATATACTTAATAAGATTATTATAAAATATATAAAATTTATCTGAATTAAATTTGAACTATTTTCCAGGTATCAGTGTGGAAGAATTTTCAATTTTAATAATAACCTTTGCTTTTAACTCTACACAAGATTCAGAACTTTTATATTGTAAAACAGATTCTGTGAAAAAATTGGAATCTTCATTTGGTAAAACAGAATTATTTAAAAAATCTGAATCTTCATTTGGTAAAACAGAATCATTTAAAAAATCTGAATCTTCATTTGGTAAAACAGAATTATTTAAAAAATCTGAATCTTCTTTAGTATTAATATAATCAGTATCAGTAAGAGAAGAATTTGTATTTTTTTTTTTAGAACTGTTTTTAGTATAACCATATCGTATATGACAGGTATTGCAAAAACTAACTTTAAAACTATCATTAAAATTATAGTTATAGCTAAAAATACGATTATAATTTTGAAAAAATAATTTCTGATTTAAATATATTTTATTAGGGTTATAAATTCGACTATAAATTGCATTTATAGTGCGAGAAAGTTTTTGTAAAGTATCATATTCGCACAATTTTATACTTAAGTCTATAAAACAAAAAAGACATTTTTGACATGCAAAACATATCTCGACTTTGTAAAAAGATAACATTTTAATTATACATATAAGCAATTATTTAGTTTAAATATCTTTAAAAGTAATTATTTAAAATATTATGTATATAAATATATGTATAAGTACTTTTGTTTTTCAGAAAAACTCTACTATTAGGTTTTCAAATTGCTATATATTACTTGCTAAGTGATTACAGTTATTAATAAAGAAAATCTACTACTAGCAGTTAAAATAGATTCTAGTATTTTTACAATTATTAATTCTAAGATTTAATCCACTAAAAGAAACTCTTAAATATCGTTATTGTTATAATAGATTGAATTTGAGATACACTGTACAATGGGGTAAAAGAAGACTAGGAATGAGTGAATTAATTGTCTTGGTATGTTTTGTTTGTTTCTGTTATCTTTACTAATATTTTTATCCTATATTCGACATTATTATTAATAACTTCTTTATCAAATTTAGGAATAGCTTCATTGTTGCCTTCATTAGTATTACTATTGTAAATTGGGTGAGTAATAACGTTGCATAGTTTAGCTCTAATAGTTAATATGGTATAGGTATAACAAACTAATTATTAATAAAATGAGTAAGTATGAATAGTGGTTCATAATCTATTTATAAGGTCATGGTAATTTAAGGGAGAATAAGGATTTAAGCAAGGGTAGTATTACTAACAAATGTACTGCAATAAATCTAATGCTAATAAATTAAAAGTGATCTAATATTGATCACAATACTAATAAATCAGGTATTAATCACTAAATAAATCTTGGGTTGTCTTAAGTTGTAATATCTTTAATATGTATATCGTTAAGGATATAGCTCTTAATTACTCAGGAAAGGGTCTATTCAGCCTCAATGCTCATTTCTTTTATGTTAATTAAAAAACCTAATATATTCCTATTCAATAAGTTTACAAATGTAATGAAGAATCGAGGATTTATTTAATAAAGGTTATAGATTTAATTGTAAATTTATTTGGTCAGGAAATTTTAAGAGTAAATTGTAGTTATTTTTCTTTATTTAATTAGTAATTTGGTCCTTTTGGAAAAGCAAAAAGGATCTATATTTATACAATTTTGTTCGTGAAGGCTATACTAAGTAAATTTTATATATGATTAAGTTACTCATATCTTTATGAGCAGTTGTTTATTTGATTATACACTTTAGCTCTAACTGCTTATGATAAATGTTAATGTTTTACTCTTACCTCACCTTCTTATATTAATATTTTACTCTTGCCTCAACTACTCATCCTAATGTTTATGTACGTAGCTACTACAGTTCTTAAACATAAACAAGGGTATGAGCAGGACGAATTATAATAATATAAATAAATAAATAAATAAAAAGAAATAAAATAAGAAAAACTCATAGGATATTCCAACATTAGTAACTGTCTATTAAATTATTTATTATATATATTACTAGTGATTTTTTTAAAAAAATATTTATTTAAATTTTTAAGTTTTATGCTCTTTTTTTTCATATTTTGCTCTGATTAGTACTGAATATTCGCAAAATTGCTATATTACAAGAATTATTTCATATGAGTGAAAATCTCCAATTTTATGATTATTTAACATGAGTGATTAGGTTATAAAATATGAATTACATGATCTGAAATTTTTTTTAGGCAGTGATTTAACCATTGGATATAAAAACTCAAGTGATTCATAAGCAATTTTACGATCATTGATCATAAACATCACTTTGAATCTCAGTAGTTACACCATATTATAATTTTCTATCGCTATTGTATTTAAAGATTATAAATACATACGTATTAATACGTAAAATAAAAGCTATCATAAAAAATTTACTAATATACACATATATTCACATCACATATTCTAGTTCACTCTACATAATTATAGGCAAGAAACGTTTCATAATACTTAGTGCAAGAGACTGATCAATGTCTATTACTAAATTAAATCATTACATAGATATGTAATCGACAATTATGTATCAATATTCGTATGTATATAGTTAGAGTAATTGTTAACTAATCACAAAGACAATTGCATGAGATTGACAATTGCATGCATATTTTTTGTGATATCGATATTGGATTAATATTTTTAAGTAATCTGATATACCAGTATATACAGTATACAGATATATATGAATAATATTTTTTTGAAGGTGATTTCAACTATTTCAAAAACAGTAATAATTAAACTATATTTGGTGTTCTAACAAAAAATATTCCTTAGATAATTTTATATATAATTTGATTATTTTTAAATTTTATATTTAAGTTAAATCTAAAAAATTTTATTTTTAAATTTATAATTCAAAACTATAAAAATTTTAATATCTAATAAATAGCTATTAATTAGCTATTAATTAGCTAAAATAAGTTTTTTACAAG